TGACATGCTTCCAAAACCTCTGACAGAAGGTGACTTTTTAATTTTAAAAATTTCTGTAATGAGTGTTCTATCGTATATAGAGAAATGCTAGCAACCTTCTCGCTTACCTTCTCATTTCAACCTTGTCACTTCTCCTCATGCCATGTGTACTCCACTAGCACTCAAAAACTAAAATTTTAACTATATTAAACTCCCACTAATTTTCTTCCTTTGTTAATATAATTAAAATTTTAGTTTGTCAACCAAAAAGTATTTAAATTTTTAGTTTTGCGTGCTAGTTGAATGCACATGGCATGAGTAGAAGTGAGAAGGTTGAAATGAGAAGGTGAGTGAGAAGGTTCCTAGCACTCCCCTCCTTTATATTGTGATTGAATTTTCTGTAATTTAAAGATATAATTCTTCTTATGCAGATATATGTTCTCTTCGAGCTGATGTGGAAAGGCTAGCCTTTTCTGTCATTTGGGTATATGATCTCTCACTAACTAGTCATGATAAGACATTTTTTCTTCTGTCTGCATCCTTGCACACACACCACACATGCATCTATTATAGTTTTTAGAGATACCATTTTATATTTAACTGATACATAGGATAGGACGAACCTATGTCAGAGTATGTTCTTTCCTTTTTGAATTGGTATATAAGTGTTTACCTGAATTTCAGGATATGACAGCTGAGGCTGAGATTATTTCTGCAAGATACACCAAAAGTGTTATTAAATCGTGTGCAGCATTATCTTACATTGAAGCTCAAGCGAGGATGGATGATAGGTACATTTTGTACTCTCGTCATTATAATCATAATAACTTTTTAAACCTTAGTAAACTTTACTAGTTACAGTAATAAGAAATTTGTACCCAGTATGTTCTTGCTACATGAACATTGTGTTCCTTCACTTAGACATGCGTCCACCTGTTACGTTTCGATCTAAATATTGCATGTACATGCGATTATGATGTATAAAAATGCCATTATTTTTCTATACTTCTCTAGGCATCATATTTTGCGATGATATGACACGTCCATGATATGTAAAAGTAAGATTTGTAATTGTAAGATGGATATGATAGAAGTGAGTTGATCTAAACAATTAAAACAAAGTGAGTTGTATGGGATGAAGTCTCTGCAGAATGTGCCCGTTGGGCTGGGAATGGTCTGATAAATAAATAGCCAGAATGGCTAACTCGTAATGTGTTGGGTTGAGCTTTAGCCTCGTCTTCTGAATCCTGGATAGTGAGAAGCCTGCAAGTGTCAACTTCTGTTGCTATACCGCTTAGTGAAAAGAGAGAAAAAAACTCTAGGATGAATTTTAAACTTGCACCAATGGTTTAATCATTTCTTCAGCATGGATTTTTGTAACTTGGTCCCTTTCCTGTGTCCACTATAGAAGTTTCTTTTATCTTTGAATTTCTATAATAAAGTTTTCTTATTACTTTTATATTACTGCAGTCGGTTGATGGATCCATTAACTACAGATTTAAGAAACATGAACTCTTTAGCAAAGGTATGCACACGTGGGCTCTTCTTCGTTGGTTATCAATTCATTAGTTAAACAGTTTTAATGTGCCATCATAATTTCTTGACTTCTCTGACCTCTGAACATTACGCTTTTTCTACAGATAATGAGGGCAAGGCGTATTGAGAGAGGAGCCTTAACTCTTGCATCTGCTGAAGTCAAATTTGAAATTGACACTGAGACTCATGATCCTCTTGATATAGGTATGTTGTTTGAATGGCAAGTTTTCTTGTCCAACATATTAAATTTTGATTGATGGTAATCTGACTCTAAATGTTGAACTTTAATTCTACTTGCACTGACAATATCAGTTGTGCCGTTGCTTAATCCACTATAATAATTACCTTATTTCATGAAATTGATTACTTTGTGCTGCTTCGTGTAGGCATAATATTGATTTTATAGTTGGTGATGCATGTATCATATTATTCTTATGTTTGGTGTTTTGGGTTGGAAGTTATCAGCACCTGGGTGGGTTTCATTAAAACATGATCTGCTTATTTCTAGTAGAGTTATTTAATTCTTATGGCTCTTTGGTTATCTGTTCAGTTTTTCATTTTTCTTAAAACATTTACTCAGGAGGAGAGAAATGACTAATTCCCTATCTTGCATTCATGTATCCATCTTAGAGAAAACTTGTCTAAAATCACTGCATGAATTGTTTCTGCAGGTATGTACCAGATACGTGAAGCAAACCAAATGGTGGAGGAGTTTATGCTTGCCGCTAATGTTTCAGTTGCTGAGAAGATTCTTAAACATTTCCCTCTATGTTCACTATTGAGGTAAGTTGATGGACTTTTCTTCAACATTTTTCTTGGTCTCATGTTATTTCCTGGAACACCGTTCTGGTTGTCTTTTGCTTAAAATTAAGGCTATAAAGTGGTACAGTGATCTATTTGGGTTGGTTAAGTTGAAATGTATCAGTTTGTGGTAAATCGTAGTTCTCTTATGTATTGAAGTATCTTTTTTTTTTTTTTCCCTTAAAATATTTGTGGCTGTGGAAGGATGGTGCATAGCTGCCTTGACACTTTGTCGCCTCTCTTTTTTGGTCATTTGATTTTGTGTGTGCAGGCGCCACCCTACTCCGACCAGAGAGATGCTTGAACCGCTGTTGCGTACAGCTGCTGCTATTGGTCTCAACTTGGATGTCTCATCATCAAAAGCACTAGCTGATTCACTTGACTCTGCTGTGGTATGTGTTTGTTAACATCATTCGTATATGTTACTAGAATGAGACTGGTGGTCCCAGACTACCAAGTTATGTAAATTTTTGCTTAATTATTTTATTCTCTCTTTAATAAAAGCAAATTTAAATCCTTTTCAGGGTGATGATCCGTACTTCAACAAGCTGATTCGTATATTGGCTACGAGATGCATGACCCAGGTAATTTAACTTGAATGGTTGAATGAAGTTGAAATTACTTTGAAGGACAACTTTCTAAATTTTTGGATTTACCCTGTATTTGCAATCTTAGGCTGTTTACTTCTGTAGTGGGGATCTCAGCCCTCCGGAATATCTTCATTATGGGCTTGCAGCGCCTCTATACACTCATTTCACCTCTCCTATTAGGAGATATGCAGGTTGGTGTCAGTTTTAGCCATGTAGTTCTTGGTGATCTTGTCGAATTATTGTTGTTTGACTCGACCACTTTCTTTCCCTGCAGATGTCATAGTACACAGGTTGCTTGCTGCATCTTTGGGGATATACAAGCTTCCAACTGTATTCCAAGACGGACCCCAACTCACAAGCATTGCTGACAGTATGAAACCACTTTCGCTGTTTGATGTAGTTCAATAAATGATCAAACCTTAGTATTACCCATGTGGCTGGATTTTTTATGTTCATAACTAATATTAGAGTAAGAATGTTTGGCTCCTTAGCCCACAAGCTGATAACAAGTTGGTGTGTTTCCAAATATTTCTGTTTCTTTTTTACTAATTTCAGAGCTAACTTGCACATCAACATATATCAAATTTTCATGCTTTTAAGGAGCTAAGTATTGTTTAGCTACTTGGTTTATAATTCAAGATTGCATATGTGCTCATTCTGTATAGTTCGCTGTAATGAAATTTTTTTCTTTCCTATTGCTCTTCTAAGCCAAGATTAAATCATTTATATTTATATCTTTTATGCACTAAGCAATTTATAAATGACTTTTTTTCGATTTGTACATATTGAGCTCTAAGAGTGTTGCTTCACTTATTTTTGCTACAGATTTAAATTATCGGCATAGGAATGCCCAGATGGCAAGTCGGGCCTCAGTGGAGCTCCATACTCTCATTTTTTTCAAAAAACGGTATGATCTGTTGTCTGTCTGCCTCTGTCTTGCTCCTCCTTCCCCTCTCCCTGTCTCTCTTTGATAATGTTGCATTTCTTTCATGAAGGCCAACGGACACAGAGGCAAGAATAGTCAGAATAAGATCCAATGGATTTTTCGTATTTGTGCCCAAGTACGTTTTCTAACCTCATAAGTAATTCAATTAATTTTTATGAGTGTTGGGGCATAGGCGTGCAAGTATTTTGAGGGTGTTTTCAACAGAACTTGCTGTCTCCTGTTCTTGTGCTTGATGAAAAATTGGTTGACCTTTTATCTTCCGGATGCTTGACTCAAATATTCTGGAATGGACCTAGGAGTTAAGTTATGGAGATGGTTTATATTAGTAAACTCTTTCTTTTTCAACCCTTTTCAGGTACGGCATAGAAGGGCCGGTGTACTTGACACCAAGGGGTGAGAAGGGAGGCGGAGAATGGTATGTGGACGAGCAACAACAGAAGATTAGAAAAATGGACGGTAGCATTTCATACAGCGTTCTGCAGACAGTGTTTATTCATATGGAGATTGTGGAACCCCAGCCCAACAGGCCAAAACTACAACTATCGCTAGTGTAGACCAGCAGCTTTGCCTCTCCCCAGTACCCTCCTCTAAGATGAGAGAAGTGTCTGGAACGGTAGCGTGAGCCAGGAGCTTGGTCCTAACCATCTTGGGCGGCTAAGATATGTCATAGGACACACAGAAATATTGTATAGCTTCATTTAGTATAGTTTGTGTAGTGCTTGAACTTACGGTGTGAGAGTTTTGGTGTGAGAGTGTCGAGCAGAGAGATTACAAGCAGTCTGCAGGTTAAAGACGGCATGCCCCGTGAAACAGTCGTGTGTTTTATGCACAAAATTGTCATTCAAGAGGTTTAATCACAATTGGAAAAAGCAAGGAGGAATATAAATTCATGGGAGGAATTAGGGATGTTTGAAAAGCGTAGTGATTTTTGCACGCTCCTTTTCTCCTCTTGCTCGGAAGAGTGCAGTTGGAGAAATTAGAAGTGTGGAAATCACACTATGCTTCTAAAATTTTCAACTGGTTTTAGGGTAGTTTACATCAATTTTCTGCCAGTTTGTCCAAGAGCAAATATCAAATTTCTCATTAGAGTAGCCCTACGTGGGTGCGACTGTCACACTAAAAATTTCTTTGATCGAACAAAGAGCAAGTATGAAATTTATCGTTGGATCGGTGTATTTCAATGGATCATAACTGTATACTAATTTCGATCCCACGAATGCATACGGATGCATTATGTTACAAAGCTGTCCTTGAGATACATTGAGCTACGAAGAACCTAATGAAACCCTATTCCCTACTCCTACTACACACCATGTAAATAAATCAAACCATGAGATGTACACATACACAAAAAAATCATACCCCAAAAATAAAAATAATTACTTCGAATTAGACAATCGAATCGAAAAATGTGGGAAGAATAACCCAAGGGATTGCTTGCTGCTCAAGGAAGTTCAAGACAAGATCCACATGAAGATTGTTGACCAAATGGTAAGTGCCAAGGCTGCAACCAAGTACGTCCACAGGAATAACACTGAGCACTCTGCCTCAGCCACATCAAACAGCTGTGTCATCGTACCTGCGTAGAATCAAGTATTCGTGTAAGTACTTTTATACGAAATTGTTACAAACTTTGAAAGTTCCCTGATCGAATGACCGAGGATGGTAGGAATTACGAGTACTTGATGCAATTTGCTTACCGATATTCATGGCAGGCGGCAGGGTAAACTGAATCATCAGCACAAAGTGGAACAAGGGGTCTGATGGGAGAAACCCTAGTTTGTCTGCTGCTCTTACAATGAGAATACCGATTGCAGGCATTACTACGTATTTGGCAACAAGCACTCCGAGGAGGGCAGGCACTTTGATCGTTGATTTGCGTAAGCCTGTTTAATTAAACACACAGTAATATAGTAGTTTGTTAGATTATGTCTCCCCTCCCATAAACTAAGAATGTAGTTCTGATGTCGAATATAGTTCCATTACCTTGGATCAGATTGCCTCCAAGAATGAGTGTGATGCAAGGGATTGTACCGTTCCTGCGTAAGGCATTTGCCGTTAATTTACACATTGTGCAGAGGATGTTTTTGGTTTGAAGTAGTTTGATTGAACATCAAGGGATGCTAAGTCTTAATTTAAGCATGGTAATTTTTATGCTCTAAGCTGAATGGTACTTACCCGAGTTGTGTAATAGAGTCTTCGATCGCACGTAGAGGGGCGTCGTCACCAATTATTATTTTCTTAAGAAATGGAATTGCCCCAACGACAAATCCCACAACCTAGTAATACAAGATAACGAACCATTCAGTTCCGTATCAGTCTCGAGGTCTTACGAAGACCTTCAAATATAGCCAAAAAATGTTAGGAAAACTCACCGCAGCAAGTGTTGGTGGTGCCAGTAACTCGTGCAAAATCTGGTGAACGAATGCTAATACTTTATGGCTGAATGGTACGTTTGATTCATCAGGGGCTACTATCTGTCATTGAGCAATCCAGATCGTCCAAACAACCAGGCTGAGTAAATATATGCATATATACTTCATATGTAGCCAGACTGCTGTAATTTTAGATATATGAGGGTACTTACAGCTTGGTTTACAGAAGTTTCAGACGCTACAATAGCACCCTGCTCTTCATCTTCTCCTTTGAGAAGGTGAGTATCCCCGTTAGCATCCAAATCTGTGTTGGGCCACTTTGCGGCCTCCTGAGCTTCCTCGGCTGCTTGAAGCACTTTCCATCTAATAGATGAAGTTCGAATCAGCTGGTAAGTGTAGGTCCAAATGAAGAAACCACCAAGCTGCAATAACCAAGTAATTTGTGATTTAGCATTCAAATTACTTCCTTTTCTCTTTAGATCATGTACAGCAGAGGTTTAATAATTGCATTACCGCCATGGAAAAAGATACGTATGAGAGTCCAATCGTCCTACAAACACTATGATCGCCAAAGGGGTTTCCGTCCTCATTGCAGATTGCAGGGACAAGTATGAGGGGAAGGTTTCCCAAGTTTGCTATTCAACATGATTGGCGATTACTTGACAAGCAAACTACTATATTGCTGCTAAGAAATAGATGAAAGAAATAAATCATAAAAATTGACTATTTACCTGATGAGACTGCAGCAATTATCACACCTTCCTGGTAAGGTTTTGGTTTAAAAATCTTTACCACAATCCATCCAAGAATCCCTCCAACTACAAAGGTAAGCGCGACGTTGACAATCATAAACCACCTGAATCATATCGACAAAATATCAAATATTGTATGGTCGATATCAATAATTTCATCGACATATTGATGACATGACTTCAAAACACTGCAATTAACTACATTGAAGGGAAAATAAATGCTGCGAAGACTAGGACCAAATACAAAATGCAGCATAACGTACCATGAAACAATGTCTTCAAATGTAATAGTCTTGGCCACATTTGCAAACACCAGTGAGGGAGTGAACACCACAAACACAACCTGCATTTTCGCAAACCACGGACTTATTTGCTTTTGTTTTGTGTGCAAAAGAATTCACTTATGTGCGAAAAAACCGAACATGTATGTGCCTACCTTGTTCATGGACCTTCGGGCGCCCGATGGAAGAAGATTCCAGTGCTCAGTTGCCATCAAAGCTCCCAACACACTGATTATGAGAACTTGGAAAATTGGCATGCAAGCCACCTCCAACAGCGTCCAGAAACCCATCTGCTTTTTTTTACTCTTTTCGAGTCTAAACTTTCGGACTTCGCTTCTTTTTTGTTCAAAACTGACCTAATGTGTTTGCGTTGCAGTGTTTTTATAGAAGGTGCTTGCACATCTCAGCAGTCCAACTAAAACAAAAGAAAAATCCTGAGAGAGAGAGTGGCACAAAAGGTTAGCCAACGAAGCAAAATACAAAGCAAAAATCACAGGTGGAATCTGAGCATTACAAGGAAAGACACCAAAAGTTGATGACATGGGGAGGAGGAAATAGCCATGAAGGTACTAACATTTGGCACTACTCGATTCAATTCCATCACACTGCGCCTCTAAGGATTGTACAATTTTGTACATATGTTTTGAAATTTCTGGGTAGTAGTACCGTTAAAAACGTTCTTAATTTCCATGAAATTTTACTATTTACTCAAATTTGGGTTGTTTTCTGCTAAATTGGCAATCCAACCATATAGATGTACCGTGAATGTAACCCACGTGAGATAAATGTTAATATTTTTTAATTAATTGTAAATTCGCGGTTTAAGCTAATTGAGATGGAATGGAACTGAGTTGGCTAACTATAAATGTCCTTTTTCTTTTAAATTTGGTTTTATCAAAATCTTAATAAGGTAACAAACTCTAAGAGATATATATATATATATATATATATATATATATATATATAAGTAATCTATAGAATATGATTTAGAATTTGGTTCACTTTCAGTTTCTTATACTAATTTTTTTCAGAGCAGTTTCCATACTAATTAAATTGGACTAATTGACAGCTAACAACACATGGTGTTTTACTGCGGTGGCGGAAAATGATACCTATGCATCCTGGTGAGGGTTCAGTTTCTACCGATCTCATTTCCCCTAACAATTTAACATTCTAACGCTCTCGTTTATAAAAAATTAAAAAAAAATTGTCAACTAACAAGACATTATACAGTGAAACCTAAACATGTGTATAGAGTCCAAATTCAATTAGAATTTGTCATAACATTTACTAACGCAATCGTTAATAATAATAAAAAAAAAAAAAGGACGGCCAATTAGGCGGCATACAGTGAAACCTAAACATGTGTATAGAGTCCAAATTCAATCAGAATTTGTCTTAGCATATATAAAGAAGATAGACATAAAGGACAACCCCGAAAGGCCAATGAACCAAATGGCAACACAAAGTAAAACGACAGTGGTTAATAAGGAAAAAAAAGGTAGGACATTTTTTTTATAGTATGGACACTCTTAATTTGGTGGATATGATTATGATATGCTAATTCATATGCATGAAAACAATATCACCACCAAATTAAGAGTGTGTGTACATTTTCCTAATCCTGAACAAAGATGTGAGGAACCAAGAAAAAGCGATGCTCCAAATTTGGAACACGGCCAATAAACTTTTTCTGTTTAGGTCATTCATGTGGTCCACCATAAATAATGATGGGTCACGCAAGAGAAAGAATAAAGAAAAAGTTTAATTGACAAAAACAAATAAAAATATTTTTATTTTTTATTTTTAGTGTATTGATATTTTTATACCGATAGAAGAGGGAGTTAAGCTAAATCACACAATAGACAACCTAATTTAGTATCGAATTCGTTATCTATGAGATTCGAACCTAAGGCCTCTTACTGGATACTAAGAGGCATTAAACCCAAAGTATTAAATTGTCGTGATAAATAAGAACTCTTAGTCGAGCTGATGGTGAGATCTTTTTTTTGTTCGGGGTTCAAGAGAAAAGAGAGGAACCACCACCCAATTGTGCTTTTACGAAAGCACGGTCACCGGTGGCCCTCCACCTTTCATATTTATTATATTTTGTATTCAAACTCTCTATTTTTATGTAGTTTAAATGAATTTATATAATCTTATCGTTTGTTTAAAAAACCGAATAAAAGCGTCATATTAAAAAGTTTTTCCTGCTGCAAAGGCAAAAGATGGCTTTAATTTATTCCCAGACAAAAATGAAGTTACGGAAAAATCCAAAAACAGAACGAACATTTCTTTATTTTTGTGGTTGAGAGATAACTGCGTACGCACTATTGGTGTCACCCTCTTTGAGCTACAAAACTATGAATGATTGATTCGATCTCAAACAATAAAAGTGCTAATAAAAATATGAAAAATACTTGATAACAATCTTTTCGTGTTTTAAACACATAAAAAAAATATCTCGTAACCCATGAATTAAAAATAAAATGTGTTATCTACATCCTTCTTTTTAGTTCTTACACATTTCTTGTTAATTTTTATCTTTTAATATTCTTTAATTTAATCAATTTGACAGTTACAAATTAAAAAGATATGTGTAAAGTAAAAAAGAATAGGTAAATATCACACCTCTTAAAAATAACTTAAAAGTAGCCTAAACCAGAAATGATAGCTACACCCATCATTCCCCCAAACACGTGAAGGTACGAAAAGTGACCATAAACAACTCAAGAACCAGAAGATGAAGGACTCAATAATCCATAAAATTCAAGAAGTTTCAGAACAAAAACAAGATTAAGGCAATAGTTTGATGGGTTTCAAAAACAAATTAAGCAGAAAAAATGAAGGAAATAAAAAAGAAAAGAGAGAGAGAGAGAGAGAGAGAGAGAGATGAACCTGGAAGAACCAGCTACAAAAACAAACATGGCTGAGAAAAAATGGGAGAGAGAGTGGTGGGAATCCGAGGCCGATCATCGATGAGAATATATAGGAGAAGAGAATAAGAAGAAGAAGAAGCATGACCCATCAGACTCGCATGCTTTGCCTTTTAATTTGGAGCATAAATCTCCTACAAAATTGATGGTGCTTGTACAAGTTGATAATTTGTGCCAGCTCTTTGTCTACTATTTATACACGGCACTTTGGTTCCCACCACTTTTATTTGTGTTTACAACCGCAAAAAAAAAAAAGAAAAAGAAACACTATTTACTTGACTCAAGTTTCGGTAATTATAATGGGGAATTTTTTTTGGCTTAACTGACTGCAAGAAGACGAGAGGCTCAAGTAGGAGGAGATGTCGTATTTGTATCCAGTTTGCACATGAATTAAAATCTAACTTAATTAGCTGGAGAAAAGTAATTAGTTTGTCAGATTATTATCTGCGAGACGTAATTAAGATACTTATATTATCAAACAGTCATTTTTTACCGTTATTTAGATTGATTTTTGCAAGTTGGAAAAAGAATTTGATTTTTGCATGAATGAGTGGTCTTGGTTAGGGACGGAGCCAACATGGGCGGAGCTTCATGGAGGGTCGGAAGAGCTCAACATCTGACCTAACAGTCTAGTCCAAGTTTCCAACTTAGCCTAACTTGCTTGATGTAAACCAAGAGTTGTGTTTCCATGGTCTAAATTTATAGTCTAGATGACAACATAACCCTAAAGAATGAGCATTGGCTGTACTAATCAGAATATATACATGTGAAACTCCGGAGGTTTTTTTTTTTTCTTTTCTTCTTCTTCTTCTTCTTAGACAAATGATAATTCACATTAAAAAAGAGAAGGAGGTCTTCGTCTCACAATGAATTAGTAATAATATCGTTCCAACTCGTTTTTTATGAGAATCAAATATAAAACCTCTTCAATAAAAATAAATACTATTAAACTATAATATTAAATGACCAAATTTTGGAGTTTTTTAAGTGCTTAGAACGTAATTAGTTAAATTTTAGAGATTATTTATTATTTTGAAAATCATAAGATGAGTTGCAGCATTTTTCAGAATTCATGTCGGAGAAAGAATGAATTTAAGGTGAATTTTTGGAGTCGGATCAATGAGACGGTTACACATGTGAGCACATTGTTGGAGCTTGCCACGTGGGGATCAATTTGCACGCCAGCGTAAGGCCACTACTCAAGCTTTTCGGCCTGCCATTTGTTTCTCGTGCTAAGTTGTAACTAGAGAGTAATTATAAGAACTCAAAAATGTCCACTAGTATTACGGTTTACGTAGTATTTTTTTTTGTTTGTAAGTAAAATATAATTATATTATTGTTAGTTCATTGTAAGACTAAACTCGTCACTACCTCGTTAGTAAAAATAAAAAACAAATGAAAGAAAGAAATTTAACTGAAAGAACAGACAAGTTGGATGTAACCCACAAGTCCGGGTAGCCCTACTTCCTCTCCGAGTGGTCTGCTACTACATAGCAGATAAGAACTTTATTATACACCAATCTTCCTGCCATATGTTAGATTAGAAAGATCAAAGAGAAAATAAGAGAGTTGAAAGACGTGGAGGCTTTGAAACAGAAGTTCTCCAAGATTTTAACCACGAAACCTCGGGTGCTTGAGTATTTGTATTTTGCGTTTAATTAGGCTTCAATATAATTATAGGGTAAATTATAAAAGAACTACCTCAATTATTGGTCTTATAACCAGCACGTGTAGTGGTGCTTAATGGTTCTTGGCAGAGAATGCAAAGCTTTCTGATTCTTCTGATTGTGTAGAGTTTTATTGAGAGTTGAACGTCTGAGAGATGTGTGTCACTCTTAGTGATTTATCCGGTTTTGATGAGTCATTTGCCATATGTGCGATTTGCGAGACATACAGTGCATGCCACGTAAGTCTTGACATGTCGAAATTTTAATGAGTTGATTAACATTTATTTCACCCAAATATACATGTCTAAAACGACAATACAAATATACAGTGAGAAATTTTTCTACACGATCACTTCTAAACCGTTCAATCAACATAATTTACTAATGGTTTAAAAATTGGCCAGATTAGTTGACAAACGAGCACTACATATATTATTTATATATATACATATACGTACGATACTATATTATACACATACGTACGATACTTATATTGGTACCTAGCCAGGTCCACCTCCACATGCCAGTTCATGAATGTTATGCAAAACTTGCAAACTTATCGAGTCTATATATCCAACTAATTACACATCGCTACCTTGATTTTTTCTTGCATTCAAACCAGGACAAATATCACAAATCACATGGGATATTGGATTAATTAGAATTCTCCTTAGGCAGGCTCTCTCATTAGACAAATTCGAATTTGTCTGTCCAACCAAGAATTTGGGTCCACCAATATACTACAGCATATGCATACGCTTGCATGCGTGTTTCCAGATTTATCAGAAAAAAGTAGACATCAAGAACCAGTGAACCACAGTCAGCATTTGTATTATATTGGAGGTCGATCGATTAAATAAGCAAGTTCAAATAATTATAAACAAGTTGAGCGTTTCATTTGAATATTAGCCGCATAATCCGCCAGTGGACACAGAAATTTTCCCAAATCTCATGCTAGTTAAAATAATGAAACCCTAGTACTATCTGGGGATGAAGATGTGATCGATTAGCTTGGAGTTTTCTACATGAATACCATCACCCCATCATTAATATTTCAATTTGACAACTGTGCTTACGTTTCAGTGATAGTGTACATACATAGACACATGATACTAATTACTATATAAACAGTGATGGGACAAATGTTTCTACTAAGAACGTTCGCGACTAGTCACGTATATATAGAACTTCATTCTCTTGGACTTTATGGTACAAAGGAAATTAACAACTAGCGTGAAATAAGATTGAACAGTAGTTAATCGTAATTTTCTTGGACCAAAAGCGATAGTTGAATGATACGGGTAGAATCAAATTGATCAATTTTTCAGTATGTCGCCAAATTTGATTGCTATTTCATCGATCTTTAATCGTTATAAGGTCAACCCTTGATCTATATATTGTTGATATTTAATCAATCCAATAATTGATATTTAAAAATAGATATTTCCATAACTCGACTAGAAGTATATTTCTTCGCTATATAAGGGCTTATATATATTTATATTAAGTGGTGAGGGAAATAAATTGATATCAAACTCGTCTTTACGAAATTCAAACTTAATATAGATAGGTACATATTCAAAAGTAATTTAAGGTGCTGTAAATCACATAACATAAGTGGCCTACTAGTAATCAACTTCATGACTAGCTAGAAATCAATTGCACATATAAAAGGTTAATCGTTGAATTGTATAGTTCATATGTTTGCTCTTTGCATAGCCATATATATTGCTGCAGTTTCAAGTGTCGAGTGTCGACCACCGATCGACAAGACAACCCTAATTGGCGGACCATCGTTGGTACTATGAATAGTTGGCAACTTCTCAAGTCATGTGCGGGGCATATGCTACTATTTGGATGTCTCCCCAACAAATCACTATAGACGATTTTTCGTTTCAAAATGCATAAAATTCGTCCCTTAATTGCAAAGATACTATATCCTAGTCGGTAAACATAGTTAAGTACAAGTAACTCTCGAGCTAACTACACTTAACATCATTTAACTTTCGAGCTAGATACAAGTAACTCTCGAGCTAGTTACACTTCTTAACCCTCGACGGCCTCAATAACCTATCCACCTTCAACCTTGCCCTTTTGTTTCCTTTTATTATTATTTTTTTCCCCTTTTATTTATTTATTTTTTTTTTTGACTTTTCTAGACAAAATACCTAACCAAAAGAGAAAGATACAAGCTTTGAGTCTCTGGCTCTCCCTATTGGACCCAGAAAAGTGAAATTTCTAGCCACACTAATTGATTATTCTCATTGGACCCAGAAGTGATGCTTAGTAGATTCCAATTTCAATCATTGTGCCTTCACATGGACGATGGATGTGATTTCAAACTATATGTTACTAAATTCATTTCAAGTGAATACATTTTGGACAATATATACCCTAAAGCTGATTGATCTGATACATACAATTATACATTTAGATTTCAAATCTCAATTGTTATATTGTTCAGATCAAATATCGACAATATTTCGATCAAATATTAACGACATAATTGATCGAATATCAACATCATATTGAAAACTGATTTATTCTAATAATAGGAAGGTTTTTTTAGCCAAAGTGACCCCTGAGATTTGTAGAACTCGTCACTTTGGTCTATGAGATTTGAAATCAATAGGAGTGGTCTTTGAGTTTGTCTATTATCAATCATTTTGGTCATTCTCTGAAAATTCTCCATTAAATAGAGATAAAATGACAAAAATACTCTCAATTTTTGTTAAATGATTTTGGCCTATTGTTTATTAAATTGAGGGTGTTTTTGTTATTTTGATATTTATTTAAGAAAGTTTTTCACAGAATGACCAAAATGATTGATGGTGGACAAGCTCAGAAACTACTATTGATTTCAAATCTCAGGGACCAAAGTGAGAAGTTATGCAAATCGCAAGGATCATTTTGGCTAAAAAGCCTAATAGGAATGTAAAAGTATATCTCTTTGATAATGTATAACACAGGCAATATTGCAGATCAATGTCTAATTAGTGGAGGAGGATTCTCTCCTCTCCTAAACTCTCCCCTTCCCTTCCCTCATATTTGAATAGTTACGGTTTAGTCACGTTAACATCTTAAATTGATTTTTTATATAGAGAATAAGACAAAAGGCAAAATATGAGAGGAGGGGAGAGAAGTAGATGAGAATAGAAGGGAAGATAATCCTACTCCAGAAAGGAGCTGCCAATACAAGGTCAATTAATTATTCCATCAATGAAGTTCTCTACTTTGGTAGTATATGATCGCAGTTGTTTCATGTGTTTCAGATCAGTGGGGCTTTTGTTGTTGAGAGTTGGGAAGGACCGACAGAGCCATATATATATAATATATGTAGAACAAGAAGGTATCGATCGAACGTCAAGCTGTGGACCTCCAAATCGCAATAATTTCAGCAAATAATGTGCAGCAATAGGACCCAAAAATGCACATAAGCCACGCACATACCTTTCGTTTCCCTTAGTCGCCTTTCATTTTATTCAGATCTAATATTTCTCTTTCTAAACCCAACTAATAAGTTTTTATTTCAAAATTCATGTTTTATCTTTATATACTAAATAGGTTTAGAAAGAAAAAAAAAACAAAAAATAGTGAAAATACGTCAGATTATCCCATCGCCACCCCTTCAGGAAAACACCATCTCTTTCCAACCATTGACTGATGACGCCCTTTTTCATTCCTATTGGATGATTTAAACCCATTGGATTTCAACCTCAAATTGATTTATCACAATATAGTTGATTTGTGTGAAAAGGAAGCATGTAGAACTATGATTGTGCACTCATACTCATTAAATTAGTTTTTAATGGTTGAGATTAAACCAATTGACTTAATTAGATGATATCTGTTAATTGTTTATCGTTATAGCGTTGAAATATTGCATATATATATATATGGAATTGTGTTCGTTTATCATACGTCCTGCGGTCAGAAATCATTTTAAATATTTTTATTTAAAATTAAACACAAATATTATTTGACAAAAACTGACCGTACGATATACGATGAACGGACACGATTCACGTATTCTTAAGATCCTCATCAAAAGGATCCAGAGAGGATCCTGTTAGATATATTTGGGGGGGGGGGGATGAGATTTAGGTCTTTGATTGTGGATGGTAGGGGAGGTCCAAGTGGCATGCCTAGGTGGTTGGTGAGGGGGTGAAGGACATGGAGGCAGATTGTTTGCCCTCTTGTTTGGATACCCTTCCCATCCTCTCTTATTTGTGCAGTCACGCTTAAGCCACGTTAACATTTTATATTCCTATTATTTTTTATCTTATTATCTCTATAAAAAAAATCAATATAAAATGTTGGCGTGGATTATCCGTGACCGCACAAAATAGGAGGAGATGAGAAGGGCAGACAATCTGGCTCCGAAGGACATTGGTTGTCTTTGGGTTTGGAGAGGTAGGGGTGGATGCCGGATGTGACTTGGGCTGGTTCTTTTTCGTTTTCTTCTTTATCATTCTAAACCTATTTTGTATGTGGGATAAAACATAAATTTCAAAGTAAAAAAGTTATAATTTGGGTTTAGAAAGAAAATTTTTGGGTCCGATTAAAATTTACCAAATATTGTCCATGGGGCAAAGCATGCATATACGGTTAATTCCAAGAGTAGTTATTGTAAAAGAATAATCATCGGCCAAATGTTTGTACATCGAACCCATTCTAAATCCTAAACTTTTTCAAATTGTATGTCAAATTTTTCTTAGAGATTCGTAACAGAGATGTGTCACTCATTAGTTGCAACTTGTTATTAAACTCTATCTAAAATTAAAACCTAATTTTTGTATATCCATCGTCAAGTCGAATAAGAGATATCTTCAACAAAATAGAGACAATTACCACTAAATGAAAGGCTGCAATAAGTGATTGACTTTGGAAATTAGTTAGTTCTAGCTGGCGTACTTAAACTCTTCCACAATAATGTAGTTCTTAATTACCTCCACAAATTCATTTTAATTTGTTTAAACAAACGTGGGCGATTAATAATTGTGATCATATTTGTTTCCTCTTTCTTCCTGCTTGACGGTGACATGTTGAGATGCATAATGCATACGAGTCCAAAACGAGTATTGTTATTAAATATGGAGTCAAATTCTGAGGTCCATGCATCGCCGCCTTTATTGGAAATGACGCATGATCACACATAGTAGAATTTATTTCGATGCATGGCCATGAACCATGGTCCATGCATGGAATATTCTAGTGCATGCCAAGTATGCTGTCATACTCGTAAATAGTATATAATCACGTGTTCGTCTTTCTCATCATTTAAATATCTGTGAGTTTCTTTCAATACGTGACTAGATATACACATGACCGAAACCAATCGGCGTCAACCAACATTCTCTCCATCCCTTGATATGTTTCCCAGTCTATTCTATGGACTCTTTCTCCATTAACAACAATATTAAGGGAGAAAGAGCCGATCACATGATTTGGCATGAAACGATCGACGGTTGAGCCATTTGAGCTACAAACTCCATCGTCATATTAAGGGGTTACTTTCACGTATCCAGTTGATTATAACCTGCAAACGAAAAATTAAGCAAAGTTATTAATGTTATGCACATTTTTTTTTATTAGCATACACATCCTCAATTATTTTTTACCTTTAGATTAGATAAATCAAAGAAAAATCAAAAGACAAATAATCTAAAATGTTTAGAAGAAAAAGGGTATACGAAAATCATTCGTCTTACCCATTCTATGGGAGAATTTTTTAGTATCCCAAAAACACGGCCCAATCACCAAGTCTAATAATACAATTGTTAAATTTTTTCTTTTTTCTTCTCAAATTGCCAATCAATTGTATTATTAAACTTGATATACAAAACCATACTCTCGGTACACTGAAAAATCTCTTCTATACAATAATAGAAAATAAAATAAAGTGCTTTATACGGGCTCCAAATCTCTCTGACCCGTGTAGGAGCATTGTCCTTTTCAGCCCGGTGGATGCAATTGGATTGGTTTAAGGCCCAACTCAAATTCAAAACGACAGGTCGTTAATACAAGATCACATTAACTTCTAAAGACAACTAAAACGCCATGGTTTCTCAGACGACAACTTCAAGACTCCAATCAAAGGGAGAAACAGTTGATAGTCTTAAAGCAAATAAGTACTCCAGCAAACTACGATGGCTTTCAATTACTGACGTTGTTTTCGATGTTATAAACATGAAAAACACATGAGAACAAGAAGATTAACAACATTATTTTCCCAGTGATAGACACATGTAACAAGTTCAACAGAACTTCTGCAAACTATTACTATATGGAAGCTTCAACTTCATCGGAAGCCACTGCAGCTCCATTCGGGGCATCATCTCCATGCAGCTGAGCAGAAACGTCATCTATGGCGGAATTTAGCTGCGCTATCTTCTCAGCCAGTATTTTGCGGGTTTTCTGTACATAACAGAAAACGCATAAGTTCAAATATGATCCAACAGTTATACGGGCTTGACCAATCAAAGTTTCCACTTACAAAGAAACAAATAGCACAATAAAGATAAAGTACAACCACACACAATAGCCTCAGAAGCGCTTATAAAATCTTTGCTTAATGATTAATTCCACATTCTACATATCTAGAACCTATCATCAACATGACCTTCTTTCTATATTGCTAAAAACTATGATTAAAGAGGGAACAAAAAAATTCTCACCTCAAGAGCTTTCTCTTCATCATAAATAAATTTTGGTAGCTTCCTCATCAAGTCTTTTCTGTCGGCTCCAGCTAGTGCCTTGCTTATCTGGGAATATGATACGATATGTCAGTCAAATACATGCTTTCGCGTCACTATAAAGAAGTTGGCCCCTTAGGATCAGCTATATATCACATACAAACCATGTCTCATCTCCCACAACCAATTCATACATTGTATATCATTTAACAAGATAACTACATAGCTTTATGTATCCTCTAGAAGGTAAATCTTTGGACGGGGGGGAAAGGGGGCAGAACATATGGTTTAAAGGTGTTAATAATCAGACAGCAGTACTGCAGTAACATTCTAAAGGCCGTGTGATACATGACGAATTAATATGCGAGTACACAGACACGCAGAGATTGAGCAGCAATAGCAATAGCAGCACACATCAAACTGAGGACCCAAAGATATCCACCATTAAATAAGTACAGAGAATACAGACCCAACGCAATGGTAACAGGTCAAACTGTGATAGATACATAACGTGAGTACTTCAAACATACCTGAGGTGCATATACACAACCTAATGCTCCAACAACTATCCCCCCCAATACAAACCCGCCAACGAAGATACTTGCAGAACTTGGTCTATCCGCTCTGTAGTAGCAAAAACAATATGAAAAGAAGAGAAGTATTACACAAGAACTGGCCAGCTAAAAGACATTTAAGACTTAAGAGATAAAAATAATAATGAAACGCTGAAAATTTAGACAGCATAAAAGTATGCATACCCAGCTCGGACAACAAGTGACCTTCTATGTGAAGTAAGCTTTGCTTTGTCCTGAAATGCAGCATTTAGATTACTGGGACCAACGTTCAAAAGACAATGGTAGGTTGGCTTTGAAGAACCTAGCATCAAACATTTGGCAATGATAAACAACAAACTTGCATGTGAAATTAAAATCTAAAAGTTTTGCAACATGAAATTGGGACATAGTAGACAAAATCTCAAGCAATGTGTTGGGTCAATCCATGATGAAAGAGACATAAATTTGATACTAATTATCCACATATATAAAGTCATGGTGTACAAAATAAGTTGAAGTGGCCAAGAACAAGGAAAATCACATAGAACTGGAAGATGAATCAACACGCTAAGGGCTCGTTCCATAACCACGTTGTTTTTACTTGCCATTTTTTAGTTTTCACTTTTTGTGGTAGAGATACAAGGAAAGTGTATGGTAGAAATGAGGAAGGAGAAGGATGAACGGAGTTGGTTGAAATGGAGGAGATGATATGAAAACGAAAACTTGAATCCTTTCCCATTTCTTCCACTATCACCTTCTCCATTCTTCCATTCTCCCGTATAGTTTTCCTCTATCTATAGCACACAACAATGAAAACTACAAACGAAATAGTTACAAAACCGGCCCTAAGAAACACCGGCTGGATAATTATACTTCCCAGTGCACTTTGAATTCAAAGATGAAAACTTTCAAGCGTTAAATGCCTAAGAAATTAATCTGATAATACCCTTCAAATGATTTTTTTAACTGCTTAACTCAAGTAAAATATCATGTTCATGTGTAGACAATTGGATTACGGATTGCACCAATAACAGAATACTAGATAATCATACGAAAAAAATTCACAAAAAAAAAAAAAAAAAAAAAAAAAAAACCGGTAAAAATCAGAGAATTATAAAATTGGCATCTGTTGCATTCAAATATTCTAGTCCTTGAGAAATGGAGCCTCAGCTTGCAATAAAGAAACAAACCCATCAAATTAGAGAGCTCAATGACTAATTGGTCAGTTCAAAACAGCAGAGAAATCTTCAATTTCAGGCACACTTGAGAGAGTAATCCATTTTTCGTACAAAAAATATTCATAGGAAAAATTACAAACTAATCAATTGGAAAAACTGAAACAAAAAAGGAAGAATTATTACCAGTTAAGAAGTGGGTTTTGTGATTCGGAACTGAAACGAAGGAACTCGGAAGAGCACTCATGGTTTTCAACTTCACAATTCACAGAGAGAGAGGGAGAGAGAAAGAGAGAGAGAGAGAGAGAGAGAGAGAGAGAGAGAGAAATTGTATTTCACCGGAAAAGCAAACAAATTTTGGGTTTCGATATTATCGAGCTATGCCTTGTACCAACCTTCAAAGGCCAGAAAATAACAACATTTTTAGGCTTTTTTTTTTTTTTTTTTTTTTTTTATAATAACGAGGTTCTGATTATTTGGGCTCTAAATTTGGGCCGGTGCGGCTAAATGGCCCAAAACCACTCTTGCTTGTTTTCACACACGGACCTGCCAGTTAAATCGTACATGTCGTAAGGAGTAATTAGAATCTCCTATATTTTTTTTGACTAAACGTTTGTTCATTTATAAAATTTGATTAAGATACTTTGATCAAGTGCCATTTCAACAATTTTCTGTTTATTTAATATATATTCACTTAAGCTAGCTAACAATAATTTCCTACCATCTAGGAATATTAAATTATGGATTTTCAATTAAAAATATTAATTTAACTAATTCATCATTATCATTCAAAAAGAAATAGAAAGTCATTAATACTTTCATAAGTAAACTTTATTAATTTGTTAAATTTTATGTATATTTACAAAAAAATTAAAAAATAAAAAAAAAGGTATTTGAAACTTATGATACATTTGAAAATAAACGTATGGACATTTGGTAATCGAATGTACCAATATAATCAAATGATCATACAATCAAACGCACCTTTATTATGTTTATGTATGTGACAATGAGTTTTGAACGTTCTGTTTAATTTACTATGTTTATGTATGTGACAATGAGTAATGAACATTCTATTTTTATAATAAACCATAAAAAAAAACCTAAACAAAGGAACGTGTAAAATTGAACCTCTATTAAAATGAAATTAATCACCAAAATTGTAGGAAATGCTTAATCAAATTCTTCAAAGGAACAAATATTAAATCAATAAAATTAAAAAACGAGACGCCTAAATCAAAGTACCCTAATAACTAGAATTTTAGATTCTCTATCGTTAAGACTCTGCAACCTCGATCCTAAATTTGAGCACCGAGGCTTTAAGTTCAAGTTCCAGATACGTGTCACGGATGCTGGTGTTCCTTGGTCACAATTATTGGCGTTCAAGAGGTCGAATTGATCTTGAACACTGAAGAGTTCCCAGTTGTGGGTCCAATGCTTCTATACACACACACACACACACACACACATTATCTTTTACTGTTTACTGTTTCTTGGGTATATATTTTGACCAGTCTCCTCTAGTTTAAAGTTTCTGGAGAGCAGAGACCCAGCACCATTTGATATTTTGACTGCAGATGGTGCGTGATTTGACGCATGCATGCATTACTTTCAACGTCAACCAAGTCAATACCAAAACAAGAGCCAGACGAAGGAACAGTCCAATCCAAATCACCCTTTGACTTGGTTTTAGATTAGAGCTGAGTTAGTAAATTTCTTTTTCACGGGTCGGAAGTTTGATAAAATAATTTTGCAACTTATAAATGCATGGTTCCGTTCATAATTCTATCGAGATCTTTTAGGTTAAGGCACTACTCCTATTCGGTTAGCAAGTAATTAAGTTAAAGATAAGATTGGTTATGGATCATTTAAGCTATTTCTCTCAAACCATGGCAGAACAAACAATGCATCATCAAATTAACTTTTTCTTGTTCTATTTTTATACAAACGATATTATATGGAGCGGGAGTTGAATTGAAAACTCTAAGCATAGTTAATATTCTATTACTTAGTATTACAGTCTACAATTATTTTTATTTACTTGTTCGTAGGAAGTTTTATGTTCGAATATTGATGATGAACCACCTGTAATTTAAATATATCATCTATATAATAAATAAATAAAATTCTTTAATCATTTTCATGTGAGAAGCCTTTATTTTGAATATGATGATAATATGATATGTGTTGAGTTCGATTCACTTTATTCTCCACCATTTAATCTATATATTTTGTTGTATAAAAAATTATAAGAAATTAAAAAAAATCCTTAGAAATCAACTTGAATTAACAACTATCAAACACTTTTCCTTCTCGTCGCTCCATGGATTTTCAAGTTGCGTTTCATAATGTAGCCCATAAAAATAATTCTTTTTTTTTTTTTTTTCATACCACCAATCAATGTGAATGTGACGCAACAAAACATATGAAACTCTTGAATTAATGCAATGTATGCTCGAATAATTTGATGTGTACATAAAACATGTAGGGCACTGACATTACATTACATGGCCTCCTCACTCCAATCCATCCACAATTGACCCACGTCTATTTTAAAGAAAGAATCTCTGCACCTGGGTCCATCTATGAAACAATGTGAATGGATGGATATCAAGAAGTTGTGCTGCTTTTTTTGTTGTTTATTTTTTGGACAAATAATCAAGTTGTGCTATTTATTTATTTATTTTTGGTGAATCCTCACGTTGAGCTTGGTTGGCAGATTGACGTGATATCACAGTAAATTTGAAAATAAAAATAAAAACTTTAAACTCTGCATAGAATATTGGCTTTGGATTGGCAAGTGAGCTGACCAATCTTTGATTAAGTCCATAATTACCTTAAGTATTCATGTAATTCTTGAATTAGCACTGAGGCCACATAAAATTATTTTATTAGTAAAGAAGTTGAGGTTACACTATAAAACTAATTGGTAAAATAAATAGCTCAACTTTTTATAAATCTTTAAAATGTTTCTTCTTTCACTAATGTAAAATATTTTTTACTTTCACATCTTCACACGCCTTCTTTTATGTGTGGTGAATTTTCAAGCCAAACATATGGACAAAGAGTATTGGGTGACATGAAGCACATGTGGCTGTTGGACTTCACACATGGGTCAACCTACTCTGATATTATGCAGAAAGTTAAGGTGGAACCATGAAGAAAGTTGAGGTTACACTATAAAACTAATTGGCAAAATGAGGAGTAGTCCAATCTCTTATAAACTCATGCAAAATTTCTTTTTTTACCGATGTAATACTCTTTTATCTTTACTTCCTTGCAATTTTATCGTAAATTTACGAATTTTAATCCCCATATATATATATATATATATATATATAAAGTATGCGGTTGACTAAACCAACTAGAAAGGGAGTATTTTTTTTTTCTTTCAGGATAATCAACTTTATGTTTTGATATACGATATGACATTTAAAAATTGGATTAGGCATAATTTGGTCGAATATTGAATTGCGGTCCTGTCAACCTTGTGTCGTGAATCTCCTCTAATTGCCTAACAAATGCTCATTTAGAAGTGATTTTATAAGATCGAAATTGTTTTTAGCAAAAATGTTTATGTAACAATTTTTACGTAAGTGAACTTTAAAATAGCACTTGAAATGCTTTTGAAACTCAAAAGCATTTTTTAAAGTATTTTTAATCATTTCAAAAGTACTTTTAAATGAGCCCAAATTACCACAGAAACTTCCTCGTAACTTATCAAATTTACGATCACCCTATCCCTTTAAGGGATAATATATAGTATATTTACCATACTATCAGTTGATCAAGCGCGTGATTAATTTAGTAACGTAACTCGCTGGTACCATATTGATATAAAACCTTAATCCAAGCAAATGATAGAATTTTGCTATGATATGTTTTACAACCGGTTTTTTAGATCGCGTAACAAGAGAAATGAAGAGAATAATGACATGGTACATGCACTGCATCGCATGAACACAGATTGTAGTAAGTTTTTCATACATGCACTGCATCGCATGAACACAGATTGCAGTAAGTTTTTCATGCACGTCTATATCATATGCTCCGGAAGTTGCTTCATTTTAAAGATTATTTTAACTAAAAAATCTAAAATAAATAAACGCCATCTTTTACATAATATTTTTGACACGATCAATCCGACCGTAAGAAAAAAAAACCTTTTACATCATGTATTCATGCATGCAACACTTTTTTTGCTAATATATGGATGGAATGGAACGGCATGTATTAGAATTAAAAAAACCCCCACTTGCCTGCAGGATCCGACCTCTTCCTCCAAAAAGGAACAGAGAAGATATCTGAATCATTGATGCCATTAGTTTAATCACCAAGTTGGTGTTCTTCTGGTCTGAATTGGTGGGTAATGAACTATATAATTAGGAAAGTGATCCTCTCGGGATTTCTTTGGGATCCATTCCACTAAATTCATATTTGATTAAATTATTATAAAAATAAGCCTTTATTTTTAACTATTTGATCAAATTTCAAAGTATGAATTGGTGGATTTTGTGAAAAGGATTTGGAAATGATTTATTTCAATATAATTATTTAATAAGTTGAAAAAATACTGTAAATTACAATTTATCCACGCTTTCCCATGTCATTTTTCTGTTTTGTATTTTGTTTTTTCACGGCTGTCAAAGGGAGACGACCCGATTGGTCAGCCAGCCAAAGAGCTGGGCACCAAACCAAAGAGGTAATCCCGAACCCAAAGCGTTTGACCTCAGTAACTCACCCTAATTACATCGATTCAAACAATAAATTTGTCCTTAAGTAGTGCTTACAATGCAAGCAAAATCTGTCTTAATTCAGAAAAACACTGCCAACTTTTTAAATTAATTTGCTTAATGTTTTGTTTAACCAGGTATTTAAGACAAAACAAAACGAAACCCCTTGATTACTTTTATTTGCTCTCACCCTTTCACCAAATCAAAAATGCTGCTTATTTAAATAAGAGATTTATTATTGACATTTAAAAATATATATATATATTTTAAATTTTCTTTTATTAGAAAAAAAAATACACTTACAAAAAATATAAAACGAAATTTTAAAAGATTAATAACAGTTCACTTAAATAAAAGGAATTAATTTGAAAAATGGGGTTTTCTTGGTGAAGAACATAATCCAAGAAACCGTGTCCAAATCACCAACTCACCATTGTTCTGAAAGCCTCCGTCTTCAAATTTCTATCTCTGCAGACTACGCAGATTAGAGTGGTTTTTGAATATCGTAAGCCTTAAATCTTCAAAACCCAGAAAGGAAATACAGTAAAGTCACCATCTTTCCAAATATTAAGTTGCACAGATTGTTCAATCACAGACCAGCCGCCTCTATTCTCTCTCTGAAGCTCAAGATTCGAAAAGATGGTGCCTTTCTCTCTGCTGGGTGTGAGCTTATGCCTTGTTGCTGGGTTGCTGGATACAGCCATGGGAGCAGGAAAGACCACCTCGTACTCGAGGGAGCTCGACCGTACACCCACCTGGGCTGTTGCTGGTGTCTGTGCTGTTATCATCATCATCTCATTGATTTTGGAGAAGGTCCTACACAAAGTTGGAATAGTAAGTTTAATTTCTCTGTAACTGTAGTTAAACAATTTACCCTTATCAATTGTAGTCCGTTTCTTGCAGTTTTGCGGAGTAACTGGTTTTGGTCACGTAGCTGCCATGGTTAATTTTCTTCAAAATTTTAGATCGCAGCTCAAGTTTTCTGTGTGCTAGCATAGTTTTACTTTCTGCTATATGACAAGGAAATTTAAAACAAACGAAATTGAAAGGACGAAATTTTATTTTCTAGAATTTGCAAATTTTTTTGTTTGGTTAATCTAAAAAAACAGTGGAATTTGATAACGAAATTTATTATTTTAAACTCTCACTCGTAGAAATTTAGAAATAACATCTATATTTAAACTTGGAAATTGGATGTCCAAATTTAGTTTTTAACTAGGAAATTATAAATTAAGTTGTTTAGTGGAAAAGAAAGTGTGAAATGTTTGAATTTGAATGAAAGGGAAAAGGGTTCATATCAATATTTCTTAAATATATTTAATCTGACATATTTATCTGCTTGATGGGGGTATCTTGTTCAATGTCATGGCCGCTTATGAATTTACAATTTTACATTTACTTTTCGCATTCTTTCATTTTCGGTTTTGTTTCAGTACAAATGCTTACTTGAAACCAGGAATTTGATGTGTTAAGAACAATTTGCTAATTTGACAGTGTGGCTTTACGCTTCTTTTGATTTACTACTTAATTCAAAAAACTTTCGATGCAGTGGCTTACGGATAGGCACAAGAGAGCGCTGTTTGAATCTCTTGAGAAGGTTAAAGCAGGTAACAATCATGTTTGTCCAGGAAACTGATTCAGTGGGTTCTGATTTGAAACTTTGCAAGAAATATCAAGTTATGGATAGACATTTGACTTGTGAAATTGTTGCAGAGTTGATGATTCTAGGTTTTATTTCGCTGATCCTGACTTTCGGGCAGAGTTACATTGCCAAAATATGTATTCCACTCAATGTTGCAGACACTATGCTGCCATGTAGAGTAGATGATAAGGAGGAGGAGTCAACTAGTCACCGGAGACTCTTATGGTACGAACGCAGATCTTTAGCTGCTGCCTCTGATTATAAATGCAAGACTGTAAGTTCATCTTCTTCATCACCACTGAACTTCAGCAGTTTTATTTACAATTGAGAACTGGTCATAATTTGATTTTTGTTAACAGGGATACGAGCCACTTATAACAGTTAATGGATTGCACCAACTGCACATCCTCATATTCTTCTTAGCCGCCTTTCACGTGCTATACAGTCTTATCACGATGCTGCTCGGGAGGCTAAAGGTATAGCAATTAGCTGGATATCAACACATGGATTCTCTTGTGCTCTTTTGAAACTAATGAACTTGAATCAGACTATGTTTCTTGTTAATCAATCTACCTTACTATGCTTAAAGTTTTATTAACTTTGCCTTGAATGGTATGTTCCATATTTGCTGAATGCTTCTTTGTACAGATTCGAGGCTGGAAGCATTGGGAGGCAGAGACTTCAAGTCATAACTATGAGTTTTCCAACGGTATATCAATCCCTTGATGCATACATACCCTCGTCAATATACATATTCTAACATCATGCCTTGATAGCGAAGATCTATGTTGGAAGCTAAACTTGATTACGTTTACTTGGCAGATCCTTCGAGATTCAGACTTACTCACCAGACATCATTTGTTAGAGCACACACCAGTTTCTGGACTAGGATTCCTTTCTTCTTTTATGTCGTAAGGCATCTTCAACTCAATTTTTTATTTTTGCTTTTCTTTCCTTATGACTTACCAAAATACCTCAGGTTGGTAATCTCAGGGTTTTTGGATTCGCTCTCATAGTATATGTTAAACTGAGCTTCTTATAACATGTTTTGCAGGGATGCTTCTTTCGACAATTTTTTAGGTCTGTTAGTAAGGCTGACTACTTAACACTGCGCAATGGATTCATCACTGTGAGTTTCATCAGTTTTACAAAATTTCAGAACCATATTGAATGTGACATTTCAATTTATCGAAATGCCCAATGTACAGGTCCATTTAGGTGCAGGAAAGAAATTTAACTTCCAAAAATATATCAAGAGATCATTAGAGGATGACTTCAAGGTCGTCGTTGGAGTTAGGTAATATCAATATTTGTTATCTGCTTTTAATTCTATCACCAGCTATCTTTTACTAGAAAATCTTGCCTCGTTTAGTTTGTCCTGAATTATTTCTTCATGTCGTTGGCAGTCCTCTATTGTGGGCATCATTTGTGATCTTTTTGCTCCTTAATGTTAAAGGTTAGCTACTTCTTTCCGAGAAAATCCTTTTGCAGAATATTATTATAACTTTAGAGTTCAATTTAATCGATTGACTTTGCTGTATAATAATGTTCTTTCAGGATGGCAGGCACTCTTTTGGGCATCCTTGATCCCTCTCATTGTAAGAAAGCGTCCTTCATTAGAAAATTAATCCGGTTTAGTTTGAAAACTGTAGTTTCTGACAGTTTGTGTAATCGCAGATAATTTTGCTTGTTGGAACAAAACTTCAGGCCATCCTGACTAAGATGGCCATTGAAATTACAGAAAGGCATGCTGTGGTTCAAGGGATTCCTCTAGTACAAGGATCTGACAAATATTTTTGGTTTGGTCGGCCTCAATTGATTCTTAATCTTATCCATTTCGCGCTGTTTCAGGTATTGGATTGCCTTGTCTTTGCAGATTCTAGATTCGGGATTTAATCTTTTATTCAAATAGGATCATCTTAAATACTTTCTTGAATGAAGGTAGATGATGGCGTTATTGTTTGCTGGAAACTTTAGTAAAGAACATCCCGATCTTAAGAGTTGTTGATCTGGTGTTTAAAATGATCTGTCACGCTCTATGTTCAATTTTCAAACAAGTCTTTGTCTTTGTATTAGTTGAGAGATTGAAAAATTTCTGTTAATACAGATCCCGCATGTTTGTGGCTGCATAATTTCAGTTCAGGTAGATGTTATGCACTTTAAACAGAAGAACACAAAAGTATTCATCCTAAATTGTTGCTACCAGATATCTGTGAACCGGTGTTAACAAGTAGTCAATATCTAAATCTTGTATCTGACCTGCATTCCGGCCAACCTCTGAATTTGTATGAATTTCTCGGGAGTTATGTGTTGATTTCTCTCATATTTTCTTTTGCTGGTCGTCTAATCGGTATTCTGGTATGTGCAGAACGCATTCCAAATTATATACTTTTTCTGGATATGGGTAATGCTCTGTTCCCACTTACTTAATGTTTCTATCACTTTGAATTTTGAAGTGCACTTCATGTCTAATACTCAAATCTTGGATGAAACTTTGCTGCAGTATTCATTTGGGTTGAAATCTTGCTTCCATGCCAATTTCAAGCTCGCAATCGCAAAAGTAATTCTCGGGTAAGCCTTTTCTCCCTTGATTTTTTATGTTCTTGGCTGGCTCTAACGGGAGTTGTTTGCTATACTATTGAGGTCAAATTGGTAAGTATATATATATTTTGTTAGATTGATATGTAATTATATGTAAACAATTTTGCAGGGTTGGTGTTCTATGTTTGTGCAGCTACATTACACTTCCTCTGTATGCCCTTGTAACTCAGGTATTATTTTCGTTTATTTTCTCAATACTCAGTTTCTCCAGGTGGTAAAGTCACTAGAAATTTTACAGGGAGGCATGGCATCGAGCCCTCCACCAACCCCGGTGTCAAGCACTAAAAATCTTAGTTCTCTTCTTGAGTTTTTTAGGTCCTGTCTCTTGCTTTATACGATTGAACTTGATGTAAAATTGTTGTGGTGAACGTTTGCAGATGGGTTCACACATGAAAAGGTCCATCTTTGATGAACAAACATCCAAGGCCCTTGAGAAGTGGCACATGGCGGTGAAAAAGAAGACGCACGGAGGCAAGTCTCCTACCCGAACCCGAGGTGGTGAAAGCTCCACCATTTCAACGATGCGCTCCTCTACCTTGGGAGGACCCACGCTGCATCGCTTCAAAACAACTGGTCACTCAACTCGCTCAGCCGCCATTGAGGACCATGAGACATCTGATCCCGAAACTGATCCTATGTCACCTTCATCAACAACACACTTGATTGTAAGAGTGGATCAAATTGAGCAACAAACCGAGATAAATGAACCCCACGATGAGGAACAGACCAATATTCCAGACGATTTCTCGTTCATCCAACCTGCCCTGGATAAAGAAATATGATACCAGGGAGAAATATTAGAATTATTTGAAATGCAGCTACCTGTAGTTGCATATTTTGTACATGAAATTTCTTGTTCTCCCTAGGACTCGGCTTGCGGCCTATTCATATCTCCAGAGTACATGTCTGCTGCTCAACGGAACACAGTATATTGGTTGAGTTTCAAGAGTAATGCTAATTTTATTTTGGTGTTTAATGTTGGAGATGAGAGGTTCAGTGCAATCCTACTTTCGTATCATTTTCGAACTTTCAGTCTCTCGACAGGCCTGCCCTTGGTCGGAGGTTTAGACTGTTTAGTTGGGGCGGAAGAATGTGAAGCTTTTCTAGGTTAAATCACGTTTGGGAGACGAGGGAAGAAGACTGTAAGTTGTTGGCCAACAACCACTGACGACAGAAAAATCGTGTAAATTAATCAAACAAGCCATGAGCTCCTACAGACCCATATATATAAATTGCATTCGATGTTGACTGTGATTTTGGAGCTCCTAAAGATGATACTCGAACACTTCGAGTGATCGAAACTTTTGCTGGAATGAATAATGATTGTTCTTTGCACCACTTCTCTATGGCACGCTACCAAACCAAAGAATTATTAGTAATAGTAAAAATCTATCCCATTACCAAATTGTAATGGGTAAAGAAACAGTTCCTATTATGACATTTGTACGGTAAAATGATGTCACCTTGTCATGGAATGAGGAATGAATTCTTCCATTTGAATTGGCAAATATGTGTTTTCTGAGATTACTTTTGATTTTGCAAAACTTTATAATAATATCATGTACTTGTTTTCCATGTTTGAATTCTTGTAGATCAGATCTGTATGTTAATTGGATTAGAATGCGGATTTAATTGGGGAGTTTTACTCAAAAGTAACCGACAGCACTTTTTTTACCTAAAGAGGGTTAATTAATTATCTGTAAATACGCTTATATTTTAGGAAAACTAATGAAAAAAGCTTGAAAATTTTGAGTTTTAATGATAAGCACAAAATAAAGGGTAAAGTGAATAGTACCAGAATTGACTTTTTGGTGTAAAAATGTGGTTTTTCGTTAAAGTGTACAGTACGTGGGCTTTTCGTTAAAACTCCCTTATATTTTCATGCAAATATTAGGATGTTAAAAAATTTAATTACTAAAACCCTTAATTATATTCATTGTTTGAAATTTCTTCGATACAATCGATATTTCTTCAAATATCGGAAAAAGCAAAGAAATATATGGAAATGGGGGGTAAAGTGTAAACGTCATCTCATATCAGAGAAACTCTTAAAATTAAGTTAAAAATGACAAATTTCGTCGATATTTCTGATATATATGTTAAATATCGACAAACTGTCATATGATATTCCTTAAAGTTTCATATTAAATTTTCACATTTTTGAGCATGTTTCCATTGTTTCCATAGAAGGTAACTGATATCGATATTGATATATTCATTGATATTTTCACAAATTTGCATATTGATATTCCAACCAATACTCATATTTTAAACATTGATTATACCAGTTATACTTCTTGAAATTAACAAGTTTCTGAATATGAGAGTTGAATACATGTGGGGTTCTGTTCAGTCTTATAGGCATGCATGTGGTGTTCTGTACTGTAATGGACTATAATTAAGAGCCTTCTCAGTTGAACCAAAAAGGATTAAGAATGGGAATTTATTAAAGCAGACGTAATTAGGTTAATTATTAAGAGTGGATAACCGAACTTGAGACCTTATTTAACATTCAAGAAATTATTGAAAACTGTTTACAATCGATTACATAGATGATTTTCTCTATACAAACACAATACATTAGACTCTCTCTCTCTCTCTCTCTCTACCGCAATTTACAGATAACATTGATTCAATTTAATACCTACCTGGACAAGAGGTTTGTTAGCTCCATCATCTTTTATGTTCAAAACCAACACAGGCCATAGTATAATCCATTCCATCCCTTAGAGTAGTCTAAATAACCTTTACATACGAAGAGTAGCTGTCCTCATATCTGTTGTGCTCCTAAAAGCTCTCAATCATTTCAGTAAAGTGTTGAGATTCTCACAGGTCTCTTTTGGCCTGAGTCTTTGTATATGAAGTGGAAAACCGTGGAGTTTGAGATAACGACTCTAGGTGGAGTGGACCACATGAAGAAAAAGATTACTTGATCAAGTGCAAAACGATCTTTTGTTTACACGAAAATTCTAGTAAGTTCCCGTGCATGCTTTGTATACGGAAGGCAAGATTCGAAGTTTGGCTCTGCTGCCTCACCCACCTATTCCCTTTTGCAACAGGTCAATTGGTTTTGATTGCATTTCTATGTCACACTATTCCCCAAAACCCAACTCCTAAACTGCCCTTGCATTACCTAACTTCCCCTTTTCACCCAACATATATCAAATTGTTTATTAGTTGGTTCTGTATGGCATTTTGGTTTTCAATTACATCAATGACATGACCGTGTTGAGCTCGAGCAACCATGTCGTTTCAAACATGGTCCAAACCTACACATAACACAAGCATATTGTCGTGTGATATAACTTGTCGTATCTTTAATTGTATATAAGTTTATAACCATAAAGAAACCGCATGATTTGAAGGCGCCTTATTAGTTTCAAATTTATCTTTTCTTAATTAATTAGGCATGTTCAACCCAAATAAAAGGCACGTACGCATGGAACCTTCTAGCTGAAGAAACTTTTAGATCACGACTCAGTTTCTAAGACAAAAAAGAAAAGAAAACATATATGCATAGATTTGTACAACAAGAAAAGTAGTTGTGAAATAGATAGATATGAACAACCCACAAAGACAGATTAATTTGGTAGTAATTAAAACAGAGCTGAAATTAAGGACTTAAGTAATTCACCTTCAAGTTTTCCAGAAACAAAATTAATGACCGATAAAGTTGACCGAAAGAGAATACAAAATCAACAAGCAGCATGCAAGTCATGAGTTGGTCAATAAGGCCATGCAGTTTATAATTTGCCTATTGTGGTAACATATCTCTTGTTGTATGGCATGCATGCCCTCGATGAAATCGTAAGTAGTATAATTTGGATCCGATTTTCCGACCTTCCTCTCGTCTTATGGTTGATTGCAAACCATTTGATTGCCTCAAAGTACCAACTCCAACCATAAAGGTGAGGGGAGAGGTAGAAAAGTCGGATGGTATTTTATGCAAATAGTTAGACACGTTGCAAGTACCTGCAGCACCCTTGTAGGCAAGGCAAGATTTGAGTTGGGCGTTGCCTTACCCACCTTCCCTTTACACCCAACACATTAAAATGTTCAATACGGTAATGCTTGCATTGCAATGTCTAAACCCTAAACCCAACTCAAAAACTGCCCTTGCGTTACCCATGCATCTTCCCCTTTTTCACCCAACACATCAAATTGATTTAGTTCGTTTTGACTGCATTTTGGTTTTAAGTTACATCGATGACATGAGCGTGTTGAGTTTGTATCAACCATATCCATATATATGATCCAAACCGACATTTTGTCCTCAATATATACTTCATTCCTACCATGAAACATGCCCTATCATGAATCTATCTTTCTCACATAACCAGTCAAGTGAAAAGCTTGAAGAATTTCTCATAAGCTTATTTTTCTTCATAAACACTATGCAATCGAGATACATAACTATATCAACTGCCAAATTTAAAGACATAATTGGTTACTCATCCGGTGAAATAAATTTTATATATTTATGGGAATTGATCTCCACACACATTTTTCTTCCTCTACGTTATATATCTTATTTATTTTTTATTTTTGAATTAAAAAAGGAAAATCAAGAAATAAAAATAAATGGAGATGAAGGGAAATGATCTTCATGTCTTCCAATATCTTTTTTCTGATGCTATTGGCATTAGACTATTAGTGGTGGGTGCAACACATGTGCAATGCGGTTGGAAGTGGGATTGTCCTATTGTATTTAGCCTAATAAAGTGTCTAAATTCATACTAATTAGCTTATCAAAAGATTTCTTGACTAAAATAAATGCATGCATCAAGCTATAATGTCACGATTTTCCTCGCTCTTTTTTGCGGTTTACCACAAGTCAAGATTCTAATGATTTCGGAAATAATTAGTGGAGCAAGTGGTTGAACTTGGCGACTTGGTGCCTTACTCTTTCAGCATGTGTGATTTACGATTATGTGTCACACGTACAATTAGTCATCTCATAACTCTTAATTCAGTGTTATTTTTCCTTTTAATGTAGAAAAAAATTTCAAACTCGAAGTTCTTTGATAGTGAACAAAAAAAATGAAATAATGAATAATCCTCTAACGGTAACGATGTTTGAAATATGTTCTAAAAGTTAATTATGAGATAATACTTTACAAATTTTTTTAACGGTGTTTTTTTTTTTTCCCACCTCACCCCACCCACACCAGGCCTCGAACCTGGGACCTAATCTACCCCACGCCTTACCCATATTTCACATATTAAACAAAGTTAATTAGTTTAATCTAAAGATAAATATTATTGTTTAAGGACGTCTCATTAAATGTTATATGCTTAAATAATGTCTAAGGAGTCACTTAATACTACAGTCTAGTGTTATTTCTTTTTACTTATAAGTGAGATCTCTTATGTTTAATTCTCACCAAAAACGAATTTGAACCACATTATTGTTAGCCCATTATGAGGTTATGTCCACCCCCATCCTCTTTAGTGTAGATAAAAAATAAATAAGTCTAAGGAATATGTAATAGAGAGAATGTAATCTAAGAAAGTTAGATTCATGATACCTTTCTTTCTCATATAGATACTATAAATGTTCCTAATCATAGTATTGCTAATTAGGCATTGACAATCCTATAAGATCAGTACATGCTATGTATTCTCTCTTCAAAGAGTGACTAGTCTTGAGTCAATGGTGTGAAAGATATCAATATGTAGGTGCTGGATAGAGAGTAAGTTCACTGAATGCAATCAACATGAGTTCTCGTACTCATGTTATACGAGAACTAACTAGTTAGGATAATGCAAAGTAATTATTTGACCTAAGGCACCACAATTGTCATGTGGATACGTATTTAATTATTTGATGATGCATCACAACCTCATGGTTTGTTGCTCTCATTGTTGGGATTAGTGATTTATTCAAAGAGGCATGTGAGTGTACAATAAGGGATCTATAACGTTCAACTACTGAAGAAGAATACTCTACGATATGATTCAAGAGTCTCTGGCCATAGCACATGAATAGGATTTAGGAAGTATGTTTGATATCACATTCACATGAATCGCATAGATAAGAGAATCACATATGATAGTAAACATGAAAAAACTACCAACCAAACAATGTGATTAAGAGTATTGACTATATTGCATTGTAATTCCAGTTGACAAGGAGCCAAGGAGTAAAGAAGCAACAGAATGAAGGCCTTGGGTGAATAATCTTTGCTTAAGCAAAAGAGGTATTTATAAAGTTACAATGAGGACTCTTCCCTTTCCCTTTCAATTTAGATTAAATCTTGGTTCATCACCCACTAATCTTTAAATTTCATGGTTAAAAATTAGTTTATTGAGTTCATAGTAACTAATTTTCGCATTTAATCTTGTAATGCATGAGATACTCAAAGGACAAAACTTTCCTTCAAACAGTAGTTTTTTCACAATGTGTCATCCCATCATTTTCCTTTTTAGGTTACTACCTCCCATTATTTTAAACATAGTGCTTCCCGAAATGAGGGAAAATTGTGGCCATATTGTAGCACATGAGGAAATAAACATGCAAAAATTTGTGGTCGGTGTATTCTTAATATGTATGAAAGTATTGCTTAAAATTATTATTATTATTAATCACAAGTTTTTTCTTTGATCCTATAACGGGTGTCTAGTATTTTGAAGAAGAGAGACATATCTTGTAAGTGTAGTTTTGTTTGCAATTTCCAAGTTGGTTTAGTTTAGTTTAGTAGGTTTGAAGGTTCGTTATGGAAAGGTGACTTGACTTTGCCCTAAGATGAGTTTAGTAGTTTTAATTATCCTTCCATAGGCCATAGCCTTTCCCATGGGCAACCAAATGAAGTGCCAATTTTCCAAAGCTATTTTTTTTGGACAACTCCCAATTTTCAAAGTTATACCAACTAATACTATAGAAACTTATGTATTTCGGTTGCAGTGTCATTATCTTTCGAACTACCTTTTCATGAAGAAAATTTTCATTGTGTGGAGTATTCGGTCCAAGACATCAAGTGTCATTTTTTTTTAAAGTATCTAATCACTTGTATCATGACACTTGTTATAGTATGATGTTTTATCAGCACATTGAAAAATCTCTCCTCATCATGCATTTGGTTAGATCACATACGTGAAATAATAACAAAGGAAACTGTTAACTGCAACGGATATAGTAAAGTTATTTCGTGTGTTTTTTTTTTTTTTTTTTTTAATCAAGAAAGTTACTTCCCCAATCAAGAACATTTTTAACTCATTAATTCTCTAATTTTTTTGGGCAAACTCACTCATTCTCTTAATGTCCTTGAAAAACTAGTGATTTGAGCATACCGAGTGTAGATAATATAATAATGATGACTTTAAATCGTCTTTGTATTTGTCCTTATCTATGATTAGAATATTCCATTGGTACAAACTACATATACGCACCCGTTCTTTTAATTTATTTTCTAGAGAGATATTTCTCTTTTATTACTCTTAAAATTACCACTGAAGGAGAGGGTATTGGTGCGGCATCTGAATCGTGTGTGATGTGAGAGAGTAGTGAGACCAAAAGTGGGTCAGGATGAATATGACAAATTAGAGATAAGAAGTTTATTGTGTTTGAGTCCGCACAGACACGTGATTCGATTGTCTGATTTTAGAATTTCTCTTTCCTTAGGTCCACCCGTATGGTTTACCCTTCTATCTTTTACCTAGATACTATTTGGGTTGCACGTTAAACGTTTTTAAAGTAGATTTGTTCAAACTTTAAAGGCTGATTGGTGCAAGTTATACTTTGACACTTTAATCTTCCTTTAATACAAAAGAGGGGTATCTTAAGACACAGCCTTGTCCAGACTTTAGACACAAAAAGCAGATTACTTGGATTTAGCATAAATAACATTTTTATTTACGGTCTTGTCTCGATGGTTTTTTTTATGTATAATCTTATTTTGATGGTTAATTTATTTTTCTCGTGACTGCAAATCCGTAATTAAATAAGAATTTGAAACAAAAACAGTGTAAAACCCAATTGATTAAAGAGGTTAATAATTGTTGAAAATGGAAAAGAACAGGGAAGTGAAGCAGTAAAATGAGATTAAAATTGGATTAATTAGAAGAAAAGCATGGTTTGTCAATTGGTTAATGCAGAAAATGATAGTGGCTAAATACAGAAAATCCACTGCCACCTGGGCCGATCCTTTCCGCCTACCTCTCTCTCTCTCCTCTTTCTCTCTCTAAACCCTTATCTTCTCCGAAGTCCAAACATTTTCAATTCAGAAGTTTCAGACCAAACTGCCACTCCTCACTCTCAGCTCTCACGCTCAAAGTATAAAAACCCTTCAGACCCCCCCAAAAAATCCAACCTTTCTTTCTTTCCATTGAATCTTTCCACCTCTGGTTTCTGAAAACGACATTAGATACTCGATATACCGCCGTCTGATCAGCCATGCCTCGCTCTCAGAGATTTCTAGGCAGCAGCACCCCCGCCGCCAACTTCTCAACCGTATCGGCAGCTCCGCCTCCTGAGGCCGTGGCTCTGGAGTCGGATTTAGTTGTCATCCTAGCAGCGCTGCTCTGCGCCGTCATATGCGTGGTGGGTCTTCTCGCCGTCGCCCGCTGCGCCTGGCTCCGCCGCGGCCCCGGCGGCAGAGCCGCTATGAGCTCGGCTTCTTCATCCGCCAACAAGGGCCTCAAGAAGAAGGTCCTCCAGTCCCTCCCCAAGTTCACGTACGGAACCGGCGGCGCCGAGCCGCCGCCAAAGCTGGGTTCGGAGTGCGCCATCTGCTTAGGGGAGTTCGTGGAGGGGCACGAGATCAGGATTCTGCCGCAGTGTGGGCACGTGTTCCACGTTGGATGCATCGACACGTGGCTTGGGTCTCACTCGTCGTGCCCGTCTTGTCGGCAGATCTTGGTGGTTGCTCGGTGTCACAAGTGCGGTGGGTTTCCGGCTCCAATATCTGAATCTGAGGCGGAGCTCAAGGCTCGCCAGGACCACACCAACCATTCAGCTCCTCCTCCGCCGGCGGCGGCGGCAGCTGCACCCACTACTGCCATTAGTATTAGTTCTTCTAATACGGCTCCAACTACCAATTTTCTCCCTTAAAATTTGTTAATTAGGCAAACCAACGTTTTTAATTTTTCTTTAATTAACTCGACCTTTGTTTTCCTTTTTCTGAATTTGTATTTCCTACCAGTCTTTTGTGTACAGAGAGAATCAATGGATCATCATGTTTCTTCATCTCAAATTTTATTTTCCCCAATTGGCACCAAGGCAATGCAGTAGTTGAATGTTTAAGTTCTTCACTATGTTTATCAAAAAGGATGAATATTAGGGGAAAAAAAGAGAGTGAGTGCAACCAAGAAACTACTTGGGATTTGACACAGTGTGCATATATTTTTGTTTAGCTATTTTTATGTAAGTGTCAAATTGTAATTTTCAAGTACATGAAACTAACTTTTTATGTAGTTGATGCAGATGAATATTTGCAACAATTAGACCTTGTATAAAATCTGTATCATTCAGTGACACGTATTATTGTAGCCAGATTCCTAAATTGCTAATTTTTTTTTTTTTTGTAAAAATGACACGTGTGACTTGGTTAGTAAATTTCAAAATCTTTCTTCAATTGTAATAAGACAAACTATGTGGTTATGCTTGATTAGTTAGTTAATTAACATTTCAAATGCATAAATCTCCCACTTGTCTTTCCCTAAGTTAATATATCACAAAAAGAGAGGTTGCTTTCTGCCATGGTTCCAAAGCAATACCCAATTATGATTTTTCCATTTTAAAACATTATAAAACATGAGATGACAAAAAATTCATGAAGAATTCCATTTTAAAAGAGTCATCCAGTGTTGCTCTTTATATATATATATATATATATATAGATATATATGATTTTTCCATGTTGCTTGAAGTGGGCAAAGGGTCAATGGGGTCATAGATGCTTGGAAATTTTGGAGTGGAAATTGAAATAAAATTGAGGCCTAACTTAGAGAGGTCAGATCGTTGGACTTTGAAGCACAACCATCATAAGTTGGGAATTTTAATTGATTTGTTTCTACTTTTGTTGGAACTTTGTGGAGCACTTTTTGCAAGTTTGAGTGCCATTGAAGCTAAACCATCGCAAAGCTTCAAAAAAAAAAAAAAAAATGCTGAATTTTGTAAAAGTAGAGCCAACAGAATCACGACAGGTTTTAGTGATTGCTAGAATTTCTTCAAGCACAAGCATGGTCACTCAATGGAGAAAATATACTCTTCAAAGTTCAAACCCCTTTTGATTTTCTGGTGAAAACTTTAGTTGCATTTCCTCTTTAACATGACAATACTTGTATTCAGCCTACGACGGAATCGTTCTTTCTACAAAAAAATAATCAAATTGGTGATCCATCCTTTTTTTTTTTTCATTTGGTAATCTAAACCCTAAACCCTAATAAAATCTTGATTTTAGTAATAAGTAACATTCTCATAATGAAAGTTAGTTTGTTGATGCATATAAATGACTAAACAATCTCTAATTTGATTGAGTTTTTGCTAGAGATGAGGAAATAAACAAATTTTATTACAATAGTTTACAAGAACAACACAGCCTTATCCCACTAAGTGAAGTCGGCTCTATGAATCTTAGAACGTCACTGCGCTCGATTTTGCGCCATGTCTGCCATGTCTTTGTGTAGAGTCTCTTTCCAGATCTTCCTTTATCCCTTTTGTCCTAATTTCTGTCTAAAAAATCGTATCTTCTAACCATAGCATCTATAGGTCTTACTACAACAGTTTACACAATAAAAATACTTCCCACTAAACGAAGTCGGCTCTATGAATCTTAGAACGCCACTGCGCTCGGTTTTGCATCATGTCCTCCATGTCTTTTTTAGAGTCTATTTCCAGGTTTTCCTCTATCCCTTTTGTCCTAAATTCTGTCTAAAAAATCGTATCTTCTAAGCATAGAATCTATAGGTCTTACTAAAACAGTTTACACAATAAAAATACAGTAACCACAACTAGGTAGACAAAGATGCCCACTCGTAGAGTGAACGCAAATCTTGTCATTCTAACACTGATTGACTCCTTACAGTTGCCGTTTACTGTAAATCACAAATTAACGCGTACATGATAACTTATAAAACATAAAAAATTGAGATGAATACCCATTTGTCAATAAAAAGTAAGGTTTCTTGCATGTAAAGGGAGCCAAAAAAGCTAATTTCTTTTTGTGCTAGAAACTTCTGAGCTGTATTTCCACCATCCTACCTGGCAATCTTCTCTAGTTAGTTGTACAAATGTACAGTAAATAAAATCATAAAAAAGAAAAGGCAGCCGTTGCAATTCCAATTCCCTCGTTCATTTATTTTAAATTAAAAGAAAAAGGCAAATGACAAGACCTGGATTTATCTCATCCTCTCAACATGATGAACTTTAGAAAGTGCCGATATTCATCCTACTCAAAAGCACATCAATTTCTCTACTTTCTGCTGCCCTTTCAAGTAACTTACTGAAAATAAAAAGAGGAAAATGATAATTTAATCTGAAAGTACAAAGAAAAAAAAATGCTCCCGGAAACTGCCGGCCGTATAATTCGAGGTTATCTTTTTAGAATAAAGATAAGCACTGAGATGAAAATCAAACTACAAACAAACCAAATATAAAACTATAAATAATACTTTATCAACTGAAAATATAGAAAGCTGTAGAATTGTTAAGGAGGCTAAATAATCTGTAGAGGCTACATCTTGCCATACTTATAATTTGAGGTTATCTTTTTAGAATAAAGATAAGCATTGCAAGTTGAAAACTGGACTACAAACAAACCGAATATAAAACTATGAATAACACTTTATTAACTGAAAATATAGAAAGCTACAAAATTATCAAGGAGGCTACATAATTTGTAGAGGCTACACCTTGCCAGACTTGTTCATAAGTGAATAACAAGCAATTTTTTATTTATTTATAATAAACTAAACCCTAATCTCTAAACGAAAACCTAATTATAATGGGTTGGGCCCAAATCCTAAACTTATTACTCTTCAGCACTGCGAAATTGCATCTTGAGAAAAGCGTTTTCACATAACTAAGAACATTTCTTTTTTAATAACTTGCCACTCAGTACTACGATCTTGTGGTATTCATTTTCACTTGAAAATGAAGGTCTTAGGTTTGAATCTTGTAGATAGCGAATTCGATACCAAATTAGGTTACCTATTATGTAGCTTTACCAAACTCCATCTCCTTTTAGTGTAAAAATATCGATGTACTCAAAAAAATAAAAAAAAATAAAAAACTTTGTAAGTGCTTTAGATTGAACATAATACTGAAGATTGTACATAATCACTTACCTACCTAAGTATCTCACTGGTCATGGTATTAGATAATAAAAAAAACGTTTATTTCTTGATAGTTCATAAGTGCTTTAGATTTTAAAAATGTTACTGATGTTTGTACAGAATCACTTACCTCCTTACCTAAATATATAACCGGTCACTTGGGCTGATTCAAAAATGCTTCTAAAAATATCAGAAAAATGTTTTCAAGCTTTCGATTACTTACCCAACCAAAATATCTCACTGGTCAAATAAAAAAAAAAAAAACCTTAAAAAGCAACTTATATCCCTGATTTCCATACTCTCTGTGGTATCATATTTTTGAAATAATATTTTATAATGTTAACATGAGAATTAACATTAAATTATGAGATGACAAAGAGTCTATAGAAATGAGAGATTTTTTATTATATCCGGAACACGAGGTAGTACACCACTTGTCATTAAACAAGTAGTAAGATACTTGTGTTAAGAAAGTAACAAAACTTGAAAAATAAAACTACCGTTAGCTTATATAATGACATGTAATGTACCATTATTGTTCTGAACACAATAAAAAATTTATATATAGAAACTTTCACTTTTAAGAGGTTCTTTTAGCAGTCCTTTTGAAAATATTATTGAAGATTGTACACAATCACCTACCTACCAAAATATCTCACTGGTCAATTAGAGAATCAAGAAAATTTATTTCTTAATTATTTTTTAATAGTTTATAATGCTTTAGATTTTAAAAGTGTTACTGAAGTTTGTACATAATAACTTCCCTCCTTTTACCTAAATATCTCACGGGTCACTTGGACTGATTCAAAGGTGCTTCTAAAAATATCAGAAGAAGCGTTTTCAGATGACGAAGAACGTTCTCTTTTCGATTACTTACCTATCCAAAACATCTCACTAGTTGACCAGCAAAATATCTCACTAGTCAAATAAAAAAACCTTAAAAAGCAACTTATATTCCTGGTATCCATCATGAACAAAAGAGCACTGAACACCAACTTGTTCAAATGAGTTTATCCTCTGTGCTGCTTATGTGGTTATGTGAATAGATTCAGTTGATCCGCCCTCAAGTCACTCTCGGTACATATATCAGTCAAAAGCCTAATTGGCCGAACCCTATTATTCTCCCACTTTCCCCTAACCACTTCTAAACTATTGCCTAGTAACAACTTGACATCTCATCCAGCTTCAAACTTTATTCTCGAATGTGATCAATTACATACAACTATCTCTTATCTCTTCATCATTATGTATAAACGGTTTCTTCCGACATAAAGATCACATTGACGGAAGAATTAGACGTAGTCTGTTGCATGCAACTATGTGTTATTTGTCTCTTAATCGTATATGACTGATGATAAGATAAATTTTTTAGGTCATAAAACTCATAAACTAAAGAAGATTCTCAAATGTACTAGTTGTATATGACAATGTTTATCCTTCTAATTATCGTATACAACCAGTAATATAGTAGATTTTCTTCACAATAAATCGCATTCACTAGAGAAAATTCTCGAACGTCGTTTGTTGCATACAGCCATTTGTTATCTCTCCCATGATTACATAGATGTGACTAGGGCCGATTTTCTCAGTGCACACGACCTTTCAGGTTGTCATGAACTACCAAATGCGGCAGTCAAATTTGGCAACTCTCTTATGTTCACACTATCCTACCATCTTTTTTATTCCAATTAATAATACCACCAGCACGCCAACCACTGATGTGGGTTGTGATTGGTTATTTTCCGCAGGGTAAAGTCCCATGGGAGTAAATTTTTTTCAAGTAAAAATTCTCTTTTTTGGGGTAGTTTCTAATTACTAAGATTGATTTGCATCCATCATTGGAGGAAATTTGTAATTGCATGTTGGTTTACATATCAAAGTTTTGCAACATCATAACTAACTGCGCTCATA